TTTTTTTTTGCATAAAAACGTGTTTAATTAGCTTTTTTGTTTTAACAATGTAATATTTTAAGGCTTGCAATAAATTTTTTTGGAGTTAAATATTTCTTTATAGTTCTTCTAAATCTTGAAATTTAGCGCTTGTCTGCCTGCAGAAGATGACGTCTAAGTGTTTGAATTTGCTAGTAATTTTGTGGTTATTACAAAGCGTAAACTTATTACCCGTAAGACATTAGGTTTTTTGTTGACTGCAAACCTATTCTTCATGAAGTCGTTGGTATTTTTGCCTCAGCGCGGATCGATTTAGATGGTTGAACCAACGTAAAATGCAGTCCAAATATTGTCACTAAGGCTTTTAAATGAATCAAAATCAAATTGCAACATCAGTGTGATTAGAGGTATTTGGCCAAGAGGAAATGACGCTGATTTCTGACATTTGTTGTATATGAATCCTAATCAGTAAACGGAACTATGAAAACAGATGGTTATAGAAGCATATACCTGCTAACGGCTTCTGTCTCGCGCGATAACTTAAGAAACCAATAATGGAACGGCTGTTCCTGATTAGGCAAATCGGAAGAAAAAGCAGAAAACGTAGCTTTTTCAGTGTGAAAAAGTAAAACAGGCTTCAAAGATTCAGAGAAGAAACAATTTTATTGTTTTTCCAAGACGGTTTAGTAGCAAATTTGCTTAACCAGCAGAACGTATTGTCGCGATCGGGCGGTTGCTCACTCCCCAAAATCGATAGCCGTAATCACGTATTTCAAACAGCACTCAAGAATTCTACTTTTACTTTTCTTCTGTCCACGAGGGTTGACAGGGAAGCTGATTTCTCATGCTCTTACAAGGTACTGGTAGTTGTCCAAATACAGATGAAGAGACCGACAGCTTTGTCTATCTCTACTTCCCTGTTCCTTACTTTTGGCTATTCAGTGACTTTGCTTCAATTGCGCTGATAATGACTTATAGAGAGCATTTGGTTGTACCGTTGCTCTCATTAGATGAATATACACTATAAAACTATGAGGTCACTCTGAATAAGAAAGTAACAAATTTTGTCGTTTATCTAGCAGATCAATGCTTTACTTTAATTCAGAACCACTCGTCAAAGAAAAATTTGCAAAAAACATTACAGAGTAATCTTTTTTTATGGCTAACAGTTTTGCCTAAACAAAGAACACTTCCAAATTTCTGAGTAGAGTGTGTGGATTCGGTAGTCTTATTACCTTAACCCTTTTTTCTCGCTTATTGTGAAAGTTTTGATGTCATACCGCAGAAAGGTCTCCCAGGACCAGCTTAACAAGTCTATTTCCATTCTATTCATCTAAATAGAATTGTCTACATTGAGAATACTCAGTTTCTAATAATTCACTCTTATCTGAAAATTTTATAAAGTCATGTTTGCAGAATTTTATTTCACTTCAAATTTGTGGATTTCTAAACTAGCTTAGATTTGAAAAAACGAGCAACATTCTGTACCTGTTTACAGTTGAACGAACTGACTGTTAATCGCATAATAAATATAAATAATAAAAGTGAAACAAATATACCACAGATAGTTCTTTAGCACTAAGAAAACATAAAAAAAGTGTTTCGAATTCAATAGCAAAATGAAGCTTTTCTATATTCTTTCAGAAATCTACGTACGGTAGATTAGACCTAAGAGCAGCTTTCTCGTTAGTATATGAGAAGCATGCACTTTGTTACTGTTTTTCTTTAGGCGCTTGAAAATGCTGAAAAATATAATATTTTCAACAATTTTACGGTGTTTTTTTGTGATTTAGAAAATTAAATGGCAATATGCTTCTGTTAAAGTATTTTACCAAAAAACTTTATGTTCACATTGTAATTATTCAAGTTTATTTTTCCAAATCTTCGGCGAATAAAATAGTTCTGATTCTTACTCTTAGTTTTATTTATCAGTGTCTGGTGTAAAAACTCCTATAAAAATGTTTGCTTGCTGAAAAATACATGAAAATTTATATATTTTTGCTAATAAACTTATAATTGCTTCTTAAACTGAACATTTGAGAAATTCAAAAATGTTATTTCTCACATAAGTTGATAAAATTTCCAATTGAACTCATAAAACCGACTAATCCCCCACTGGAAGTTGGAACTTTAATCACTGCCATGAACTACGAACCGTGAGTGAAACATATTCCAACAAACTGGTAAATTTATAGCCTGCAACGAGTAGAACTACAGACAAAACTCTACAGGACGATTCTACTGATTTTGAAAATACAGCAGAGCTGAAAGACATGGTTATTGTCAGCTGAACAACTATTTACGACGAATTAAGCGACAGAACGAGTTGAATTTGATAAATGAACTGTGATAACTCTTCGTG